CATGCGGACGAGGATATTATGGACACCTTTCGTAAGTTGGAGGTAAATTTCACACTTTTAGAAATAATTAAACACATCCCTTGTTATGCCAAGTTTCTAAATTTATGTAATTCTAAGAAAAAGAATGAAAATTAATGGAACTATAAAAGATGACAAAAATATCTCTTCAATTTTGCAAAAAAGGTTTTCCCCCAAACTGCAAGGATCCGAGAATTTTCTCGATTCCTTGTAAAATGAGGAACCTTACTTTTTCAAAAGCCATCCTCTATTTAGGTGCACCAATCAATATCTTTCCTTTTATGTTTTTGAAAAAATTAAATTGGGAACTTTAAAAAAGATTGGGACACTCATTAAGTTGGCAGATCAATTGACAGTACACCCAAAATGTGTATTGAAGGATGTTCTCATCCAAGTGAGTGAGCTTATTTTTCCCTCTGATATATATATTTTGGACATGGGTGATTTAGACGTATCAGATAAATACTCAATTAGTATGGAAAGACCTTTTTTAAAAACTACTAAAACAAAAATTAATGTTTTTGTTGCTACGCTTTCTATGGAATTTGATGGGGATGTAGTGAACTTTAAAATGAATGATGATACTACTAATAATATTTCTTTTGGGTACCAACAGACCTTTATTTTAGTGTTACAGTAATTTTCTGATATCTCTGTGCAAGATTTGCTTTTAAACATTAATTTATCTGATAACAAATTCAAGGAACTGAAACGAAATAAGCTTTAGGAGGTGAAAGAAAAGCTTATTTTAGTTGAAAAAGCATCAAAAAAGGAGCTGGTAGAAAAATACAAGCTTGGGGAGGAAGAAAAGAAGATTTTGGAAAAATAAATAAAGAAAACGTGGTGATTTATGCTGAGAAGATTTCTGAAAAGAAAATCAGAAAAATGAGAAGACTTCAGGAAATATGAAGATCAGAAAACGAAAGAAGTTTAAAATTTGAAAACTTATCTGAAGAAAAAAAATAAAGTATTTCCAGTTTGTTGAACAAGTTCCAGATTCATCAATCATGCCAAATCTGAAGGGATCCGGAGTGACAACGAAGAGAGTTGAGCTTCTAAGAAGTCCCAACCACACAATTTAACAATTTTGGTAGGACAAAGTCGAGCCAATGAATTTAAAAAAGGGCATCTTTCCGGGAGGCATCCCATGTAGTTTTTAGTTTTTATGCTTTCCATAAAGAGATGGTCGCAATTCCAAGAAAGATTGGGGAAATCAAAGGATCTTCAAAGTTGCTAAAATTCAAATTTTTTGGCACAACTTCGTAAAAATTAGATTTCTACAAACTTATCAGGTACATTATTTCCTACATGCACCCTCCTACTTTTATATTCTTTATTGAGACGTTCATTCCTCTCTGAGCATTAAGGACAATGTATCATTTTAAGCTTTGGGAGGGGGTTAGTAAAAAAATTACAGCTTTTGTTAAAAACTTTAAAATTTTCAATTTTTAGTTAAAATTTTCAAATTTTAATTTTCTTTTTGAATTTTATTTTCTGCATTACATTTGTATATAAAAAAATTTCAAAATCCAAAAAAATATATTTTCTATTTTTATTTTTTCTGCATCATTATAAATAAAAAAAACCCAATAAAGGTTATTTTTATTTTCTACATTTCAAAAAAAAGAAGAAAAAAATGAAGGAAAAAAACGAAAAACACATGAGATAAGGACATTCTTGCATTTGATAGTTCTGTATAAGTGGAAAATGAAAGTTTGAAACGATCACATAGGTAGAGGTAAGTTCAATATTAGTTTCCATAACTAGGAGTCACAAAACACCGTGATCTGAGACCCCGTCTTTCAAAAGATAAAATAAATAGCGTACTGAAACGCTGTGTGGGCGGTAATAACAGTTCATAATGATCTGGTTATTAATGTTTAAAAGAATCTTGATCGACGAGTTTGAATCCACAGAACACGATCATATTTGTTTATACACGTTACCCGCATGGTAATTGAGAACCTTATATCATGTCCAAACGGTCAAAGGAAAGAAGGGTATAGCTTTCATATCTGATATCCAAGTTAAGTTCAAGCACTTAATCGACGAAATCTTAAGAAATTTAAAAAGTTGACTGAATAAATCAAGCTAAAGACAAGATACAAATTCAAGTTCAATCAAAATAGGAACCACACCGAAGACAAATCTGGCACAAGAAGAACAATGTGATATGATATTTGTTGTTCTCTACCAAGTGAAAGCATAGAGTTGGGCTCCTACGGGGGTTGGCCCACTGATGCTTCTGCAAAAGCTAACTAGGCTATTCGGGTTCTTAAGGATGCATCGATTATGTTTCTTAATTATCTAGTCCTAAGGACATGAAATTATGAAATGTGTTATTTTCGTTTGCAATGATAATTAAGGTATAAAGTTTAAATAAGCGTTGCAATTGGCTTATTGGTTCACACTGTTGAGCTTCTTCCTCACTTTGCGAATCTGTGAGAGATGGAAGGTATCATAAAGATCGTCTAGGTAGTGATTCCGTTAAGCTACCCTCAGTGTTAAGTCTAATCATGTTAAAAAAAAGTGAAGTATTTGTAGTTCTAGTTTTTAATATATTTTAATTTATGTTCTTTTTAGGTCATCTATATCTTTCCATTTTGTTTATAATTTTTAATCTATTTATTACTTGAGGGCAAGTATGGTTAAAGCTTGGGTAGATTTGATAGATGTCATTTTATGCATATTTTAGGGTACTTTATATTAACACTAGATGAACATCTGCGCGTTGCGCATAAACGCTTATATAGTTGAAGTCTTTACAAATAAATGTTTTTTTTTTTAAAATATAACAATAATGTTATTGTTAAATTTGATATAATAATTTGTATATTAAATTGATATAATATATTGATTAATTTGAACTATATGATAATATATAAATCTATTAGAACTGCATAATACCAATCGTTTGAATGACTTCTATCAGCGAGTTACTCATGAATAAATTTAAATATAATATATGGTTTAATGTTATTTATAGTTGTTGTTATTAATAATTAAATATTAAAATTTATTTGCTTAATGTTTTAATTTCTATCATTATAACTTGTTAAAAGATGAAACATTATTTTTTTGATTTTAAAGGTAACAATATAATTATTTATATAGATTTATTTTTAACTATTTTTATTGTAAATTATTTTAAGCTGCTTATATGAAAATTTTTCATGATTATAAAAATATCTTTAGGAAATATTTTAGTTAAATTGATATTATAATTTAGTTTTTGCATTTATCATTTTTAACTATTTACAAAATATTTTTTGGTTATTTAAGTAGAACTGAAATTTATATTTAAGTTGACACTGTAATTTTATATTTAAATTAACAATTTAAGTATTTTGTTCAAACTATTCAAAAGTTGTAAATTTAAACTAATAATGGTTTACATATAACAATATTTTAAATCTATTAAATTAAGTATAATATGTTAAAACTTAAAGACATAAGTTTATAAGTATAAGTAAATGTATTATTTTAAAATTGAAATTTAATTTATTTATGATTACACTTTACGTTTGATATTTATTTAACCTTAATAACCAACTTATAATCATTATTAGAAAGACACTACAATTTATCATTTTTAACTATTTACAAAATATTTTTTGGGTTGTTTAAGTTAAACTAAAATTTATATTTAAGTTGACCCTATAATATTATATTTAAATTAATAATGTAAGTAGAAGTAAAGATTTTATTTTAATATGGAAATTTAGTTTATATATGATTACACTTTAGGTTTGATATTTATTTAACCTAATTACCAAATTATAATTATTATTATTATAAAGAAATTGAAAAGTCGTGAGAGTTTCAAATGAATGTGGTGAATGGAAAAAAGAATTGGGGTTTCAAATGCATGAGATTCAAGAAAAAATGTTAGCTTTATAAGTATGTATGATTTAGCATTATAATTTGTACATTTGCATGGCATAGTTTAAAAAAATTCAAGTCATGCCATTCGGTAGAATTGCTGTACTACTTATGTTTTAATGTCATTTTTTGAGTGGAGTAGTACTTTGGTAGCAAGTTGCAATGAGTTTGATGGAGCAATGGATTTAAGGATTATAACGAATGATTGGAAGATGTTCTGGTGAAGAAAAATTCGATCGAATTGATCATACGAAGATAGATTGCTATATTCTAAAGCCTAAAGGACGTTGCTAGCAAATTTGACCCCCTGTCAGTATTTTGACCATATCTCATGACTCGTAACTTTGATTGATGATATTCAATATTGTTCCGAAAATTAGGAAAATTTTTGGACGAATTTCGTGTATGTGAAAAAATCATAAAATAAAAAAATTTGATCGAATTATGGCCATAAGTTTGATCGAATTTACACTTCATAGAAAAAAAGTCCTGAAAATAAAAAATAAAAAATGGATCCAATTTCCTAAAAATTCGATCGAATTTTATGATTTCTTGCTCTCGAAGACACTGGACTGTATATATAGGATGCCATTAAGGTTGGACGATTCCTGAAGCTCTAGACGATGAAAAAGACAATTTTTGAGGCGATTTCTCTTTAACTTTAGTGATTTCTGAAGATCTAAAAGACGAAGATCATTTCCTACATTTAGTTAGCAAGATTAAATAGTATGTTTATGTTTTTCTTAGTTTTAATTCTTTTTCAGCCATGTCCTGCTAAAACCCAAGTTTTCAGTGCTACAAAAGACTAGTACTTTTCATATGATCAGTTATCAGATTTGGTTTCGATTGTGTGCTTCTATCTAGTTGTTTTAGTTTTTAGCTTAATAAATTTTTTATTTTAATTCTTTTTAGTCTGATCACCTAGCCATATTTTTATCATTCCAGTTAATCAGTTAATAGAATCCATAATTGTTATTGTCAACTAGTAATAATTGACAAGTATTAGATTGGTTCCGAGATTGGGATTTAACTCTGATATAAATTGAAAAATCATAACTTTACGGTTCCGAGCTTGTGAGAAGTATTGGGTAATGTTGTGAATTTTACACAGATCTTAGGGTTAATACCATAAAAGCCATAAGTTTTACATCCCAATTCTAAATTAGCACTAAATGGATTTTTTATGTCTAATTAGCCATTATGTATGTGTTGACTTTTGCCTCAAACCCAGTTAGCCGGTTTCCCCGGTTTCATCCGGTTACCCCTTTACAAATAGGGGTTTTACCGTTAGAAACCCATCTTCCACCTCCTACTTCTACATTCTCCAACTTCTTCTTCCACGCATCAACTCCTTCATGGCTAGTTCATCTACAGGGTCAATGACTTTAGGATTTCAAAATGTTAATGTCAATTTCAGGAACAGAAACAACCCCATGGCTTTGTGTCGTTGTGGTGTTGAGGCTAGCTTCTCAATTTCGTGGATGGACTAGAATCCTGGAAGAAAATTCTGGGGATGCATTAACTACAAGGTATGTTCTTCACTCTTTGATCCATTATAAAGTTTTGTTTTGGGACTAAGGGAAAATTTGTCATAAAAATGTGCAGGATCCTCCTAGGTATTGTAAATTCTTCATGTGGTTGGACCCACCTTTACCTAGTGAAGATTACAAAAACCTCATGTACCAAATGCATTTAGCTCTGGTTGGTATGGCTGATTGCAATGCTCAGTTGGAACAGCTGAATGTGGATCAAAATAGGAGGTTGATGTTGATGATGAAACTTATGTTCATCATGGTCATGCTATTTGTAGTGATCTTGGTAACAGGGACTATATTACTTGTGAAATTATAGGAAGTTAGGAAGTTAAGTTTAGTCTTTTGTGAAGTTGTTGGTTAGGTGAAATTGTATTAGATGCTTATTTTGGCACAGTTGTAATAGCATCTGAAAACATTTTGATGGTTGTAATATGGGTACCCTTGTAATACATAGTCCTACAGGACAATTAATATGAAAAGCATTAACTAGAAATTAACAATTTACTATAGATTACAAACTAACATTGAAATTTGAACTTACTACAAACCACAATCTTTATAAACATAATAGCCAAATACATACTTGGAAGGTAACAATCAGAACTAAACTTCCATTTTTATAACAATGTTTACATGCCAAAAGATGATTTCCCAAATCGACAATGTTACTACAATTTACAGTCAAAAGAGAATATGTTGTCAACAAAGTGGAAGCTTCTTACCAAAAGATGCTTTCACAAAAAGGGCTATCAAAAGATTTATGCCCAATTACCCCCATCCATAACAACATCAGTCCAATGTAAGTGCTTTCTCAGTTGTTGAACCACCTCCATTTGGATCATGCACTGTTTTTTTCAACTTAATCTTGATAATTATTTCTGAGAGCTTCCTTTTTCTTACCAACGGATCTTGTGTTTCTTGACTGGTATCTTCATCAACTATACTCTCAACCAACATCTTCTTCCTCTCTTTTGTCAAATGTGAATAAGAAATTAACATAAACATATTATCACATAATGTTCAAGAAAATTGTGTTAATAATTAAATTTATAATTACACACCTTATTAAAAGCTTCAACAATTTCTCCATGATCATATCCAGATGCTTGCAAATCTTTAATAGTTTCAAAATCTTCATGGTCAAGCTTTTCATGGTAGGTAAGTACAACTTCATCAACACCTGCCACATTTTGACTTATACTACCATGCACAGCCCCTATTCTCCCTACATATTTGATCTTACCTCCCCTCCTTGCCATCATCTTCATTTTCTTCAAAGGAGAAATTGACTGATCAGCATCTATCATCATACCTGCTTTTTTTATGTGCCCTCAACAACTTTCATCTTTCCCTCACTTGCTTCTTTTGATGTGTGATCAACAACTTTATTATGTCCCTCATTTGCTTCTTTTGATGTTCCCTCAACAACTTTCTTCTTTCCCTTATCTACTTTCGTTAGTGTCTTTGCAATGTTCATAGCTAAATTCCCTCCCCCATCTCCCTTTGTTCTACCATTTTTCCTTTTAGGGACAGGGTCACTTGGACCTTCTCCATTATTACAAGGCAGCTTATTATGACCAAGTTCCCTATATTTCCCACACCTAACAGTCCTGCAAAGCTTTTCCTTTTGAGTTGGGAACTTAGAATCCTGACATTATGAGGCATTTCTTCTTCTCTTTGTTTTTGGTCTTCCATGCATTCTCCTAACAAGGTGTGGTAAGGGCTTCAAATATTCAGTATAGGGCCACATATTACTTCCATTAACAGGTAAGATGTTATCCCTGTATGTATCTATGAACTTGTCCTTATGGAACCAAAAGGAAATAAAATCAGTTGGATCTCTATGTGTGAAATTGATTGCAACTTGAGCATGAAGACATGGTAACCCTGATATCTCCCATAATCTGCATGAACAAGAATGAGCATCTAAATCCACCTTGTAAGCTGAATATACATGCCTTGTCTCAAATAATTCCCCTCCACTTGGTATTACTATCCAAAACCTAAAATTATAAGTAATTAATAATGTACATGTATATACTTAAAATCACAGTTAAAATCAAATAAGCATACCTTATATGCTTTCCAAACTCCTTAATCTTCTCTAAGATGTTTGGGCCATAGTCACCTTTCCATTGAGAAACTGTAGCAGCTTGATGATGAAACCTATTCATCAAATAAATCCTGATTTCCTCAAGCATTGTTAGAATTGGTTTTTTCTCATGTGAATGATCATCAAATTAAAACACTCTTATATGCCATTCTCTTCCAACAACAGTCAAGAGTTCTCCCTTGATCTGACCCTTTAGGAAACAACCATCCTAACCTTTCACACGTCTGCAACCCCTATTCCAACCATTCTTAAAATCCTTTAAGCACACATAAAACTTTTTTAAATAGTTCATGCCACGTTCATTTAAATATACTCCCACTTTACAAGTGCTCCATGGGTTAGACCTGAGGATTTCTACAACATAGTCCCATACCTTTGCATAATGTTCTTCTAACTTACCTTCTATCATCTCTCTTGCCTTTGTCCTAGCCCTGTGACATTGCCCCTTAGATACATTTACTGAAAACATCCTAAGTACATCTTCCTTCATCTCAGTTAATGTCATATTTGGCTTCATAATGATATCCTTCAGGTAATGTTTGGCCAACCAGTTACAACTAACCAAAGGTCCAAAATTAAAATTTCTAGCACATAGATGTATGTCATATATAGATTTAATCTGAAATGTTTATTCATTATACTTCCAAGCAGCATAAACTCTAAAGGGACATGGGTCTTTTTTTATATATTTTCCAACACCTAGCAATCACTGTACGCCTATCACTCTTCATAAACCACAACTGATATCTATTAGCTACTTCATAGTTAGTTAATGCAAACCTGAGTTGAGAAGGGAACTCGTAACACTCTCCCACTACAGGCTTCATTTGTTTCCAATGTATGTCTGGATAATGAACCCTGTACTCTACACCTACTTCACCATAATTTTTGTCACGCCCCGAAACCGAAGGCGGAAACGTTCCGGGGCGGAGGACGTCATGAATATCGCAACCAATGTACATAGTAAGCAAAGTAAACAACCATTACATTAAATATTAAAATTTACTTTTGTTCAAAAGTAAAGTTGTACAAGTGATGATACATATGTATATATAGACAAAAGTAAGACGTGTAATCTACGTACTCTGTCTTCGCCAAAAGGATCGCTAGGTACCTGTCTAATGAGGACCTGAGAATACAAGCAGTTTGAAAATCAGCATAAAGCTAGTGAGTTCATAAGCGGTTTTGTTTTCTGAAAACGTACGAGTTTCCTTTTAGTTTCTGAAAATGTTACGACCCAAGAAAATTCCATATTTTCTTAAAAGTAATGTTTGGTTAACTGTTATATTGTACGGTTCTGATTATGTTCAATTGTTATCCCAGGAAAATCCTATACTTTCCTAAAATGTTTGTAAAGTGTTATCGAATCTGAAAGTAACGTACAAGTATCTACCATACTTAAAGTGTGTGTATGCGAAGTTTCCTGAGAGCTTGGTTACCTTTAAATGTACATTAGTTTTAAGACATATATAAAACTAATAAATAAGTATAAAGTTTTCATAATCTTGATTGTGAGTTCCATAACCATACTACAGACTAGATATGACTCAAGATGGGGCCAATATCTTCTATGACTTTTGTCACCCTTGAACCTTTCGGTTTGGCTGTAGCTAGCAGCCAAGTGCGGGATAGTCAGTCCCGTATAGATCTATACACTCAAGTCACGCTCTCCCCTTTTCCGGAGATTCTAATTACGGGGGTGTTCCTCCACTTTCGTGTCTAGGGAAGTGTTGCAAAGGACGTGTCTCCAATCTTAAGATTCATGAATTTAAAACTCAAAATATCATTACAGAAATCTTGTTCTATTGGTTCTTTACTCTCGTATCTAGGAGGAGTACTAACTAAGACTTGACTAATTTCCAATGATACCTGTCCTTCACACTCGTGTCTAGGGGGTGTTTTATTAAGGACAATACAAAAGTTCTATTTATTATCCTCCACTCGCGTATCTCTGTGGAGTGTTACCCAGGACAAAACAATATATTAAGTTTCTTGTTCAAAGTTTAAAGGTTATGCTTTTAACTATTATAATGAGCAAAAACATTTGTGAAAATATAAAATACGACAACTTATAATGTTTTTCACAAATTATATGATAATGTGATCTGCAAGTTCAAACGGTTATCTGCTATGATTTGTCAATGTTAAAAACATATGTAATATGAAACACAACATATATAAAATAAGTTTTGAGTATAATTATTACTTGTACTTTTCTTGTATCCCCCCTGAAAACAGTGAAAAACATTGAAAAACTGTAGGGGTATGAACTCACCAGACTAGTAAATGTGATGGTTTGGATGCTAAGCGATGGTTCGGGGCTTGATAACATGCGAGGTTCCTATGTAATATGAAATAATATCCAAAGGTATCTAATTAGACTTTAAAGCACTAATTAGATATGATAATACACTCCAATGAGCGAAAACACTTCAAATCAAGTGTTTAGAGTGACCCGGGTGACATCTACGGACGTGTGGGACTTGGGAAATGAGTTTACTCGTCAAGAGTAAACTCCTTATGGAGTTTTCGGCCCTAAACACTTCAACCCCATGAGTTCACAGCCATGAACTCATGGTTGAGTGTTTTATGGTGCTAAATTGCAAGATAACACTCGAGGAGGGTTGGTATGAATTTATCTAAGACATGGAAGTGGATTAAATCACCAAGAACATCATTAAAGGGAGTTTATGGCCCTAAACATCGATTTTTCCTCCGTAAGGTCCTATACCCTTCTTAGATTGATGATTTAATTGCCTTAGACCATTCACATGTGATTCAAACAATTTTTACAAGCCTTATGATGAATTTTGGGCACCATTTGACTTATCTTAATGAGTTTACAGCCCTGGAACCTATCCGTGGGCGGTTATGGTCGTAAACTCTCAAATGAAGAGTTTTTATTATGTTTAAGGTCCCCAAATTGATTTTGGTTGGTTCTAAGATTAATTCCAAGGCTAATGGTGTGTTTACATGGCTTTTAAACATTTGAAAATGAGTGTACTCTCCATGAGGATGAGTTTATGGCCCAAGCATGTTCTTCGGCGGTAAACTCATGTTTACTACTCAAAAACCATGTTTAAAGTGTTCCAAGTCCGAATTGGTAAGCCATAAAGTCATATATAAGTCCCAAAGTTGGTTTGGAGGGGTTTTATGGCTCAAAAACCCAATTAATTTGAGTTTACAGTCCAAGCATGATCCAGGGTCGTAAACTCATGAAGATGGTTCTAAATCAATGTTTAAACTTGGATTTGAAGGTTAAAGAGGTTGAATAACAAGTTAAGGAAGTTACCTTAAGGATTTGAAGCCTTAAATCAATGTTTTTGGACCTTGAATTTGGATCGAGGAGAGAGGTTAGAGAGAGAGTAGTGAGGGAGAGCAAAAGCTTCAAATTGAAGCTTAATCATCTTTAAATAGGGTCTAAGATTTGGACACGGTGGAATTCTAGCCGATACCGACGTTAGACGTGGCTTTTGGTCACACCCGATCAAGTTGTCGTAACCCTATATGGTTGATTTAAAAAATTTTCCGATTACTAGATTGTGTGTTAAAATGAGTTCTAAATGCTTTTGAACACCCATTAAGTCAGAATAGCAATCCCAAATTAATGACTTAATTTAATTGCGTAAACGGAAACGAAATTGAAAACAACTAATCGATTATCGAAATGGGTTACGAAAAGGATTACAAATATGGTACGAACTTCGGGTTGTTACGTTATCCCCCCGTTAGAGGGAATTTCGTCCCGAAATTCTAAGATTAAGATACAGATCATGAAATGAAAGGAGATGTGGATGAATCTGCTGCTTCGGGTCTTCACGCTCCCAAGTGGAATCGGGTCTCCACTTGACGTTCCAGCGAACCCTCAGTATCGAGATGCGGCTATGTTTAGCACTTTTGATCTCTCAATCCATGATCTCGATTGGTTCCTCCATGAAGTTCAGGTTTTCATTGATCTCTATCTCATCTAAGGGAATCACCAGGGTTTTATCAGATAAGCACTCCTTATGAATAAAGACGTGGAATACCGGATGAATGATGCTAAGTTTTAAAGGTAGTTTGAGTTTGAAGGTTACAGAATCGATCCTCACGAGAATCTCGAAGGATCTAATGTACCACGAGTTATGTTTTTCTGCGCTTTCCAATGCGTACCATGTCTTTCCAGAGTAAGACCTCCAACAAGAGGGTACATCTTTC